GATTTGCGCGGCCTTGGTGGAAAGTGCGTTTGCGTGGCGCTGTGCCACTGGGGAGCGCGAAACAGGCTGGTGTAGACGCGGCGTGTCGCCGGTGAGCGGGATGATTGGTGGTATCAAGAGTGTCCCAAAAGAGTGCCCCGCAAGAGCTTCCTACAAGAGTGACCCAGAAGAGTGTCCTACAAGAGCGTTCTAGAAGAGTGTCCTACAAGAGTGCCCCACAAGAGTGTCACAAGAGTGTCCTGCAAGAGTGCCTCACAAGAGTCTCCCACAAGTGTCCCACGAGAGTGTCCCACCAGAGTGTCCCGTATGAGTGTCCCGCAAGAGCGCCCCACAAGAGTGTCCCGCAACACTGTCCCACAAGAATGCCTACGAGTCCCCCCACAAGAGTGTCCCACAAGAGTGTCCTACAAGAGTGTCTTGCAAGAGTGTCCCACAAGAGTGTCCCAGATAGCGTGTCCCACAAGAGTGTCCCACAAGAAGTGTCCCACAAGGGTGTCCCGCCAGAGTTTCCTACAAGAGTGTCCCGCAAGAGTGTCCTATAAGAGTGTCCCTACAAGAGTGTTCCACAAGAGTGTCCCAGAAGAGTGTCCCACTAGAGTGTCCCACAGCAGTGTCCCGTAAGAGTGTCCCACAAGCGTGTCCTACAAAATTGTCCCACAAGAGTGTCCTACAAGAGTGTCCCACAAGAGTTTCCTACAAGAGCGTCCCACAAGAGTGTCCCACAAGAGTGTCCAACAAGAGTGTCCTACAAGAGTGTCCCACAAGAGTGTCCCACAAGAGTTTCCTACAAGAGCGCCCCACAAGAGTGTCCCACAAGAGTGTCCTATAAGAGTGTCCGGTAAGAGTGTCATTTGGACATATGTAGCTTTTCGAACGTGTTTGCATTCGGGTTCGTGGGCTCCATCTTGTTTGTTATACCTGTTATTCGCAAAGTGGTCGGGGGTTTTGGAACAGTTATACAGTTTCCTCCCAGGCACCCTCCCCACCGAAGAGCTTCGTAAGTTTGGCAGCAAACCGTTTTGCCTTTCCAAGCATGATTGCATTGCATGTTTTCCAAGGCTCGATCCCATGTGCCAAGTCCACCTCGAGCTCCAGACGAGGACTTGGTGATTTGCTTGTATGTTGTTGGTTGATATAAGCGCGTACAGCATATGCTTTGCAGGCCGCCAAGTAAGTTGGGGCACGAAACTGAGCAAATGATCGTTAGTTGTGTGCGAAAAATGGGTTTCAATCACACACACACACACACTTGAAAGGATCGCCGTGTGTGACAAATTGGAATTGGGGACATTTTGGATGAATTGGCCTGAAGCAGACTTTTGCTGACTGAAAAGCGGTCGCTCAAATATTGCAATGAAGGAGCTTCAACCAATCCTTTGTTGTGTTCTTGTAGAAATGGGTTAAACACTACTTGGGTTGGAACAGCAGTAAATGACACTAAGCTCTTTCCTTCTGCGTCCTGCCGGCGATTTCCAACAAAGGTACATACTGGGAGGTTTGGACAGGAAAATATGGGGTCTGCGCTGCGGAACTGACTATGTTTCAGGCATGTATCAAGAGCATGGCATTTTTATGATCTGCAAGAATACCAGGCACTCCATCACTTAAAACCACAGGACATTTGATGCTTGACCCGCTGTAATTACGCCGACGCAAAAAAGCAGGCGGCAGGTATCGCTACTCCGTTCTCAATTTGTTTGGAACTCTGAACATTATTCTGACAAAGGTTCAAGGTGACATGCCAACGCTTGTTGTTCAGTTTGGAACTTGCATTTTGTTTTTGTTTGCAGTGGATTTGTTTGTGCTCGTTACTTGCCGCACTCTCTGGCTTGCAGCTGCAACTGAATTCAAAGAATAATCAAGCAACAACAGGCCAAGCGCCTCTCTCTCTATATATACACAGAACCTCGATTCCTTTGCAGGTCACAATATGTGCGTATGCAGTGGGGTTCTCTTCATTGCTGGTGAGCCTGACAGTACAGAGTTCAACAGTGTCAGGCTGTCCATACATACATGACATACATTTTCCAATGTTTTGATGTCCAGCATTGTCATTGACTTCGAGGCGATGTGTGCCAAGTTACCAGTATATATATATATATTGACCATTCGCTTTTGGAAGGTTCTGCCTGAGGAAGGGCCTTCTGATCCAACTGCAGCGCAGGCTTGGAACGTCTGAGTCTCCAGCAAAAGAATGAACCAGTTCCCAGTAGTTGCTATTCATCAGCCGGTGGCTGCTGTAGTTCGGCTGCTTTGCACTGTGCAACTTGGGCAGGTGTGTGAAGATCTGAAACGACAGCTGCAGGACTTTGTGGAACTTTGTTGTGACCAAATTGCTGTTGTCAGCACGTGTTGTATGACCATGTCTATGTCCAAAATGAGGACAGAAACAGCGACTTGCGTCGAGGTGAATTCGGAAGGCTCTTCAAACCAGGAAATCATATTGAGCTCATGCTTGCGGGTTATCAGGTTTGCGGAAAACGCCTCCTTGAGTGTTGTGCTGGCCATAGACCGACAATTCCAGTGGGTTTACTGATATGTACTGTCCCATAATTGAGGATTTTTACTTTGCAATGCACTTCCACTTCAAGAGTGTATATACAAAAGACTAGAGCATTTGCATGCCCATGTTCCATTGGATTGCACAGTATTGCACCTGACGAGGATGGCAATGTGGTTGCTCGTGCCAGCGAAAGCCCGGCAGAGGTGGTTGTGGTCAAGCCAGTGTAGAAGCTGGCATCAAATGGTTTGTGTAGTCTTTCTGACAATCTATTGGCTTCTCTGAGTCCAGGTGCCCTCAGCCGGGGAGGCAGTGATTTCTTCCATTGAACTGTTCCGCTTGAGACTGAATTGCATTGTCAGGTTGTGTACCCGAGCAGTGGCACATTTGAGCCGACATTCACCTCACAGGCTGGCATGGTTGAGAATCGAAAGCTTCATTTACTTGGCATGACTTGACTAGATGTGTCTCTCTCTATATATATATATATTCATGGGAATGCTAAGGTTTGTGAAAGGAGCTTGTAGACAACTCGATAGTAATCCCTTTGCAAGAGGTTTTAGGCTCGAAGCGATTGCACACTTGATTCTGGAAAGAATGTGTGTTTTTGTTTTGAAGTCCTTGGATCTGGAAATGGTTTGCAATCCATTCCAATTCCAGAAGACGATCAATTTGGAAAAGAATGCCCATTTTGAATATCACGCCACTCTCAAGACAAAGCCACGCATTCATTGTCTATTTTTCACAAAGCATTCAAACGCAATGCCGGGCAATGCCGGCAAACTGGACCTTTCAAATCAGTTCAGTGTGCACCCCAACCGTCCAATTCTTTGAGGGCTGTGTTGTTTGTGGTTCTGCCTGAAAGACGCGAGGTTTGATTGGTGGACCTGTCCGAAAATAGAATGGGCTACCGCCCGGGTCAGCCGACCCTTTTTCTCAGTCCCTATAGAGGTTTCAGTGGGACTGGGAGCGACCTCTGACAGTGACGTCGCCTTTGGGGCCCCATATATAACAACAGTAGTCTAGGATGAATTACCCCCAGCTCAGCCCACGCCAAAAGGCGCTGAGTGGACACAGGCCGGCCATTTGGCCCGTGGCATGGCTATATGCATCTCTCGTGGACGGCTGGAGCAGTAACCTTTGGATCAAGCCACGCCAAGTATCCCCATCAAGTATCTTGGACGTTTTGTGGGAACATGCGATAAACATGCCAGTGTGCAGGTGCGACGTGCGCAGCTTGCAGCGTGGAACATGAAAGACGCGCGAACGTTTTAATCCAGAAAACACGTTTCCCCGCTGCGGTAGAACCTGATCCCGGTCGACCAACGTCGATCCAGCATATCATTGGGCGTTTTATAACGTAGCTTAGCCGTGTGGCGCAAACGAAAGAAGCAAAGGAACCACGGGATCGGCAGGTTGAAGGGAGGTGCAAAAGGTTCCGTGCAGGTTCCGGTCATGGAGGTTTTACATGTAGGTTCCACAGCGCCAAGGGTTCCAGATATTGGTTTGAAGTGGTTGCTTCACGCCAGCGAGTTTGTGTTCTTTCACTCACTTGACTGAAGGACCACCAGCTGCAGCCCATACAGTGACTAGCTCAGTCATTTGCAGCTGCTGGACTGTTCAAAGGGCACCCTTTTTGCAGGGGTGCTGCTCCACTTGACCCGACAGGACTTGGCATTCAAGCACGAACATTTCAATTGTTGAGATCACGCAGAGCGCGCTTTTCAAAAACAGCGGAGGATGGGAGAACCTGTCCAATTCTGAGCTGCTCCAAAGTCCGCTCCTTCAGTATGTTTCCTTGTCCTTCATGTTCCATTTACTGTATGTTTAACTTATCCACAGTGTGATTCTGCGGCGTGGGCAGGCATTGCTCAGCGCGAACGTCAAATTGTGCGCACTGCGATTGGAGGCACCCCTACCTGTTTACGCTTGCCAAGCATATGCCAGCACTTTGTCTGAAGAAGGCAAAAGCCTTCAATGTTCCACTAGTGAAAGAGAGAGTCAACCGTCAACCACCTTCCTGGAGCTCTTCGCGGCGGGTTTGGCATGCAGCGAAGGTGAAGTTGAATGTTGATCCTGTGCTCCAAACCACTTGATCTTTGGAAGTCGGACTTGGCGCCAGGTTTGGGAACTGCGCGGGCCCTAGCTGTGGGACACAATTTTCTTGTGGAAGTGGTGTTCTTTTTCCGACGAATTGCGCGTGCAGTGTTGTCACGCTGGGAGTTCTTAGGCAAGGCTGGGTTTGATTGGGGGAGGCTGCAGCGTGGGCTATTTCGTTGCCAGTTCTAGCTTCTCACGCCTTTCGCCTTTCGAGATCTTGGGAGCACGGCTGTGCTGTCGTTGTTTTGGTGGGGGGCCTGAAAGTCGAGGTCGCAGTCGGAGCCGTTTTACGCGTGATGTTAGCGGTGGATTTTGGCTCCGGCGTGCTCTGATTTCGTTTCAGGCGCAGTGAACGATGAACTTTGGACTGTGGCTCCTTCTCAGAATTTGTGGGCTGCGAGGCACTCGCCACAAAATCTGCGCAGAGAGGTTACAAAGCGCTGCGCCTGGAAATGTTTGGCTGCCGTGAAATCTGGAATTCAAGCTTCAGGGCGCTGCTACAAAATCTACGCTTCGGGCTTTGCAAAGCGCTGTGCCTGCCAAGAAATCTCCACTTCTGGTACGCAATGCGCTGTGCTGGCCGCGAAACCTACACTTTCAGGTTTACAAAGCACGGTGCCTGCCACGAAATCTGCATTTCGAGGTCTGCAATCGGCTGCGCCTGCCATCGCGAAATCGAGAACGCAGGTCTCACACAACACTGGTTAAATGACCACTTGCTCCGTCTTTTTTGCGCTCTGCGTGCTCTCACTGTGTGTGCTCTCATGTGTTTGCTGACATAGGTGTGCTCTCATGTACGTGCTCCCATGTGTGTTCTATTTGTCTCTCACGTGCGCGCCCCGTCGCACGTGCTCGCTCAAACCTTTGCTCTTAAATCTGTGTTCTCATGTTTGCGCCGTGTTTGTTCTCACAGGTGTGCTCTTCCTGTGCGCTTGTGCTCAGAGCTTTCATTTGTTTGCGCTCATATGCGTGTTCTCATGCATGTGTTCTTACATACGCGCTCGCGCGTGTGCGAAAGTGTGCTTCATGGGTGTTTTCTCGCGTGATTGCTTTCTTGCGCGCGCTCATGTATGTGCTGAGATGCGGAAATTCGCTCATTCGACCCACGCCGCGTGATGTTTTCCTCCTCCTCCTCCTCCTCCTCCCCCTCCTCTTCCTCTTCGAACTGCGGGCGGAATGACCGTTGTGCTCCTCCAAACCGCCAGACTGCCCCCGCCCACGGCCGCCCAACCTAGCAGGATCTACAACCCTTAAGCAGGCGCTGACCACGAGCCAGCAGCAATTTAACGCGCGCGCGTGCCTGTATGTATGTGTGTATGTACTTTACTCTATATATTGTTTTTGTTGGTATGTCTTGTCTGTCTGCCTGCCTGTATGTATGTCTGTCTGTCTGTCTGTATGTCTGTTTGTATGTATGTATGTATGTATGTGTGTGTATGTATGTATGTATGTATGTATGTATGTATGTATGTATGTATGT